AATGATAAAGACTCTAAGTTTGAATACAACCACTTCTTTTAGGAGAAGATTCTAACAGTCAGAAGAACGTAGCCAGTTTTCCCTGGGTACCCACAAGCGCAGCAGCTCATGGCTGCAATGACTTCTCCCTGCAGGGAAATATCAGAACAGTTTCTTACCCATTTATGCTGCTGCCCAAGTGTGACTGAGTTCAGACTCTGCTTTTCAGCATGTTCAAAATGCACCTTTTAATCCCTTTCAGAAGAGTGCAACGGTTTGAAGGTTTACTGTGTGCGCTGGAGGAAAACGCAGGAGGCCCAGGCCCGCGCCATGAATTTCCACACCACCACCTCTGCTCTCCCTCGAAGAAAAGGTTAAAATGGAAGACAGCCCCCTGCCTCCAGGCACTGCTAAACAATGGGCTGATTTTTCTGCCACCAATTATTGCCCTGGATAAGTATCAAGTATGCAGAATTAGAATTGAACATACATTACTCCTAAGCTTATGGGGCTACTGACCTAGTGGGAAGCTCAGCAGAGCTGCTGGCTGATGCGCCAACCTCCCCTTGCAGGCAGCTGCCTCGTTACTTCTGATCCTTCTCATCGCAAGCACCTCCACAGAGTAACAGCATAAACTCGTGGGGAAAGGGAAAAGCACCCATCACAAAACCCGCTTCTCCTGGCTGCTTACTGCCGCACAGCCACAGCGTTTCAGTGAGTACCGCCACAGGCGGGGGGAACCACTGCTGCTGACGGTTTTGAACTGGAAAAGCCTCACAGAGCTGTTTGAGTTCTGTTAAATAGGCGGACACTTGGTCTAAGGCACAGTGAAAGATTTGCAGCTGCCAAAAGAGAACTGAGAGCAAACGCAACCCCCGCTTTTCAGGCAGAAGTAGGCATGACTTTAACAGGACAAAGCCACCATTTCGCATCCCCAGCCTCCTGGAATAACACACACACACACAGGTACATGTGCACGTTCACCCGCAGCTGCCCCCAACAATGCAGACAGCCCAGACAAACCCAGCTTTGCATCCTGCTGGGGTGACTCCTGAGCCAACATTCAAAAGCCTGACAGACCGCAGGCTCCGCAGTGCTCTCACAGTAATAAACACCCTAAGTGGAGAACTGCTTGAATGTGCCAAAAACACCCCTACAAGGAGCAATAACGGTTGGATAACAGCCCCTCGGACGTCAAGGCCACTTACAGGTAAGACAGACGCCGACTTCAGCGCTCACGCTGCATCCCAGGAGGAGCACATAAGCTCCTTACCGTGCTGCAGGGAAGGATAAAAGCGAAGACCGAGGCTGCTCGGTGCTGGAACAGCTCCAGAGCCCCGAAGCCACCGCTGAAGCCCTCCCGGCGGCCCCGGGGCTCCCCAAGGCCCCACCGCGGAACAGGTGGGAGCCCCAGAAGGTCCCGGCGAGCCGCGGCGGAGCCCGGCCCAGAGCCCCCTGCAGGCCGCGCCCGGGCCGCGGCCTGGCGTCGGGAGGCCGCCGGGCCGCACGCCGCATGGCCGGGCAGCGTCGGCCGGGCCCCGGGGGGTGGCGGGAGGCGGCGCGGCGGACGCGGCTCCCGGGGCGGAGGGAAGCGGCCTCCGGTGGCACCGCCGGGGCAGCCCTGCGGTGCCCTGATCGGGCGGGTGCGGGCAGCGAGGCTCCCCTGGCAGCGGGACCTTTGCGGGCTGGGCACCGGGGAGCTCCCCGCTACCACCCGCAGCGGAGGCTTCCGGTGCCCGGGGAAGCGCCGGCCGCGGTCCCGGCGGGAGGCGAAGCGGTGCCGGCGGACGTGCGGCCCCGGCGGCCTCGTACAGCGGCGGGGGGCGGGAGAGCCCCGGGCGGCGATTGGAGAGGGGGAGGGGGACGGCGGCGGCGGCGGCGTCCCCGCGCTACCGGCCCGGGAGCCCCGGGGCCCGCGGTCTGTACTCACGTTGCTCTGCGGGTCGATGGCCTGCAGCAGCCGGTCCCTGATCTGCTGCGGGGAGGGGGCCGGAGCCGCTGTCATTGCCTGGGCGAAGCGGGGCGGCTGCGGCCGGGGCGGGCGGGCGGCGGGGCCAGGCCGGGCCGGGGCGGCGGCTCCTCACTCGCCGGCGGCGGCCTCCTCAGGGAGCCGGAGTCGCATGTTCGCTCCCCGCAAGGCGGGGGGGGGGGAGCGGCGGCGCGGGGCGCGGGGAGAGGCCGCGAGGGAGCGACCGGTGCGGGCCCGACTGCTCCGCTCGGGGCCGAACTCAACTGTGGGCAGGAGCCAGCCCCGCGCAGGGCACCCTGGGATACGCCCGACGCCGTCACGCACGGCGCGCCCCTGACGCCCCGGCGGGCACGGACTGCGCCTGCGCGGTGCGGCCTCTGCGGGGAGCGCCTGCGCACTGCGCGCGGCGGGCAATGGCGGCGGTGGCCGCGCTGTGGGGAGCGGACGGGCGCCGGCCCCCGGGACCCATGGCCGGAGCTCCCCGCCCGTCAGCGGCTCCGCGGGCGCCTCTCGGCGCGCGGTGCTTCTGAGTGTGCGGGGTCTGGGCTTGGAACCGCGGCCACAACCGATGGGTCCTGGCGGGGCTGCAGGGACAGGCCAAGGGGAATGGCTTGAACCTGCCCGAGGGGAGGCCGAGATGAGCTCTGAGGGTGCTGAGGCGCTGGCACACCGTTAAGTTAAATAAAACCAACACAAAAGTCCATGAGGAGGTGAGTTAATTGCCCCCAAACCACCAGTACGAAATAGATTTCTCCTGTAACACAATGAACATGGCATCAAGTACGTAAATACCCTTAAATAAAGCAACTTTATTCAACCAAATCCAAGATACTTCCAAAATTGATGCCTTCACATTGGCTTACAGAATTATTTTGCTATTTATCCCTTACATATTGCTTAGAAAAAAAAAATCACTTTGAAATTTTAATTTAAAAAGTATTTTGTTGGAAAAAAACCCAAACTGGAAGTTGAGAATCCCATTGTTTTCAATCAGCCTTCTCTATTTCTCCAACAAACCGAACCGGAGTAGCGAGAAGTGACACCAACACCTTGCTCAACCTTAAGAGGCTTGAGAAGCGTGGCTTGCAAGCGATACGGACAAGAGTGACATTAGGAGCCACATCCACTGACCCCGCAGGGTTTCAGGACCCTCCAGTTCTCCCCCTGCCTGCTCTAAGCTGAGCAAAACGACTCCGAGTTCTCTATTTCAGTGAAGTTGAAACAATTGTGAAGGTTTTGGCCCAGGGGCCTCAAGGCTCAGCCCCCGGCTGGAAGCGGAGGGCACACACCGCGGTACAGGAGGGGCTGGAGAGGGTGAGCGCGTGAGGAGCTCGCGCCCATGGCCAGGCCACGGTCCAGGGCTGTGTGTGGAAAGCGTCATCTTGTACTCCATAGAAAAATGGTTCCCAGCCAAAAGTCTCTTCCAAGTCAACAGATGGGTTCGTGGATGGTCTTCAAGATCCAAATAACCTAGCGGATGGGACAGAAAAGAAAGAGGAGATGAGAACCAGCTACAACTGAACTAAACTGAACTACTGGGACTAAAACCTGTTGAGAGACTCTTCTCAAGGCTGATTCCATGCTATTACTTGGTGGGTTCACCTCCACCCTCCCCAAATGAAAACCTTCCCAAAACACTGACCTAAATGGTGTTTTACCTAAGCAACGCCCAACAAAGAGCGCTGTATCTAAGGCTAAATGACTTCCATGCTGCAGAGGTTTTCATGCACTAGCAGAAAGCTGTGAGGTCAACTGCCACCTCTTTAATGAGTGAAATAAATGAAATGAAAAGGAATTACGGAACAATAGAGTGGCAGAGAAAGAGATCCAAAGAGACATCTATACGCAAGAAAAATCTAGCACATAGGACTTCCTCCAAACGAATGGCACAATGCTGCATGGCGTTACTTACACAATCATACAGAACATCATGAAGATATTCCAGAGGGCAATGAAGATTCGAAAATACCTGAGACTCAGCAGGAACTCTCTGATGTTGTCACCTAAAAATCAAGAGTGACAAATACCTGAGACACTGCCAAGTCCTGTGTTCAACACCACCTGAAAAGCATCAGCAATCCCAGCGCAAGGTCAGGCAAACAAAGACCTGGAAGCTGGAAGCTTTGTATTGATGATCTGTGCTCTGTTCAGTGCATCCCTGTAGGGGCATGTGGCAAAAGGAACACAAAGTGACAAAATGGGGTTATGCTACAAAGGGATGCTAGCCCTTTGCTGGAGTTTACAGCCTTCCTGCGACTTCTGACACCAAAACCCAGAAATGGGGCTGCCTCTGTGGCACAACAATGCAAACAGAAATGTGTAATTTGTACATTTCCTCTCCAGTCCCCAGGCTGGGATCAACACGTTTGTATGGAAGCATTGCCAAGGAAAAATGTCGGCTGTTGTTTAATAAACCAGGCACTCCAGGCCCCGAGGAATTCGCATCCGAGGAAAACGAGGTTAAACTTGGCCTTTAGCGCCTCGAAAACGTTGGGATCATGGATTCCCTTCGGGAAACGCCCGCTCCTGTACGCAGCCAGCGCTGGCGAGGGAGGCGGCGCCGAAGCGGGAGGAGGACACCCAGGCCCCTCTCCCGCGTCCCCTCCGTTACCGGTCGTGGGTTCCCTCGCCTCCTCGCCGAACCCCTCCGTGTCCCTCTTCCTCCTGCAGAGAGAAGCGCCGGTGTGAGGCAGGCTGACAGCCCCCCCTCCCCGCCACCTCCCTGCCCTATTCCCTCCCTCTGCGCTCACAGCCTGAAGTTGAGCACGGCCCCGGCGTTCACCAGCAGCGTCCTAAGGGAGAGACAGAGACCGAGCGTCAGGCGCGGCCCAAGCGGGCCCAGCCCGGCCGCGCCCGGCCCCCCGCGCCCGGTACCCGCAGAGCAGCAGGTCCCCGATCATGGCGGCAGCTCTGGCGGCGGAAGCGGAAGGGGCGGGCGCTGCCGCTCGGTGGAGGGGTGGCACCGGGGCGGAGGCTCCGCGTCCGGACACCGGCCGCCGGTGGCGGCGGGGAAGCGAGCGGCGCCTGGGCCTTGCACCGCAGCGCCGTTGGACGCGGGGCCATGGAGCTGGCGGCGGCCCTGCCGCTCGGGGAGCTGGCGGCCGCCTTCGCGGCGCTGCCCGTGTTCCCGCTCTTCGACACCGCGTACTTCATCGTCTCCGTCCTCTACCTCAAGTACGAGCCAGGTGAGCGCGGCGCCGAGCCCTTGGAGGCTCCCGGAGGAGCGGCAGCGGCCCCGTCCGTGAGGGCCGGGCCGGGGTGGGTGCCATGGGGCTGTAGGTGCGCGTTGCGGGGGGGGGGGGGGCAGCTGCAGTGCTCCTGCCCTGCTTCCCTTGGGATAAACCTGACGTTTGGGGCATGAAGTATCCCCCCCAGCCGGGCCCTGGGTGTCAGGGCCTGGTGCTGCTGCTTCCGGGGTGCCCCGCGTGTCTCAATGTAAAGCAGAAACCTCCAAGAAGGAGTGAGTTTTGAGAATCAATCGTGCTTTTTATTTCATGCTGGATCCCAGCCGCATTGAGTTATGGAAGTTCAGTCACTTCTCTGCTGCTGCCCCAGGATTTAGCGTTACGGCCGTGTCCCGCTGCTTGGCTTCTCTATTTCTGGGGCAATACCTCCTATTTATATACAAGCAGGTTGTCAGTAAACCCTTGGGGTTTTTCCACCTGCCAGACCATGCTGTAACCTGAGCTTTTGCTTTCTGCCCTGCTGCAGCCCGGCTGTGCCTTGCTCTTTTCCAAATGCTGCCTTCTCCATGTGGTTTTGATAGCGTGTGCGCCCTTCAGGCTGGTTTCAGTGGTCTCAGTGTAACTGCCTGATGGCTGAGAGGAAAACCCCCAACAACACCCTTTGGTAGGGGTTTTAAATCCTCTGGTTGTGAGAGCTCTGTGCTGTACAATCCATATTCGGTTCTGTTGACACTCCATGTGAACACAAGTGCTGGGTTTTCAAGGCCTGATCACTTAACGCCAGCGTGAAGTCCTGAAGGGACCAGTTAACAGGCAGCCCTTATGAAAACAGCTTTTACAGCTCTGTAAGCCCTGTAATCCGCTTGGACTGGGTAAAGCTGGGGTGTTGTTTTCACTAGATTCCTACAGTGCTTCATCCCACGGATCCTCTGCTGAAGATCGGTGTCAGGACAGCAATGGCCCTGCTCCTCCTTGGAGATAGCGTGGCCATGGAGCCAAAGAAAAACAAGTGTTACTAAATTAAGCCTACATGTTCCTATAGAACCAGCTTCATGTCATAGCTCTTGCAGCTGTCTTGTTTCCACTGTGTTTTCAGCTGGATCAAATGTCTTTGAGGATGGAAGAGTCCGAGCAGTCATAGTTTTAGCATATGCTGATTCGCATACTGCTAATTAAGGTCAGTAATGCTGACAGAACATTTTAGTGCTCTTTCTTTTAATTGCCTGTCACTGGCTTACTGAACAGAGCTTGGTGTCTGAAATGGTGCACGATGGACTCCAGAACAGTTTAAGGTGATGAAACAGTCTTACGGAACTGATGTTCCTGAGAGACTTCCTTGGAGAAGTACAGAGGTGGCTGAAAACAGAGGAATTAAATATCAATGGGAAAAGAACATAATGTACTGCCAAACAGTCACAGTTTAATATCTAGTTGTATTTTCAGAGGGTGTTTCCAAACTAGTACAGGAGCAGGGAAGAATCCTCAAATCCGCCTCTTTCAAATGAAGATTAAGAATTGCTGTTCTATTTTTACAGGTTATCTTATGAATGAAAGAGCTGAACAGGTTGCTCATGAATTCTAGAGGGCACCTAGGTTGAAGCAATGGAGAGAATGGTACTAGTTTCACCTTACTTTTAGACTGTACAAAGACATTGATTTCAAGGGGAAAATGTCCCTTCTGATTGCAGTAAGTAGCAGCAAATCCAGGAGATAAACTCTTAGTCAAATCATACACTTCCAATGACTCAGTTCACTTGAAACCTCATGGGGGGGGGGGCTGCAAGCTGCAATCACATGTATCTCTTGCCAGTATCTGGTACTTGCTCAGGTTTCACCAAATACACATCTTTGTATTTTATTTTACAAGCCCTTTTCTTTTACTTAGTTTGTTGGAGAACATGCCCCACAAGCCTCCTTCTTAGGCGGCCTTGAAGTTTCTGCTTACTTGCTGGATCTACTTTCTCATTTAGCCTTTGCTTCACAGGAGCTGTGGAGATGTCTCGCAAGAGCCCTTTTGCCTCCTGGCTTTGTGCTATGCTCCACTGCTTTGGAAGCTACATTCTTGCTGATCTGTTACTTGGAGAATCACCTATTGATTACTTCAGTAACAACTCCAGTGTCATCCTGGCCACAGCAGTCTGGTGAGTCTCTGCACTCCACCTCATTTACTAAGCATGCGACGCTGCTGGCTGCGTTCAAACCCATCTGCTTGTGTGACACACGTGTATAACCTTCCTTGGATTAAGTGGGGAAAGAAGAGGTGGGGTGAGGGAGTCTTTTGAGTCTTTTGTATTCCTAGATCCAGTTTCCAGTTTTCTCTGACTGGCTGTCTACTGCTTCGATAATACAGGTTGGGTCCAGTCCAACCACTGGGCATTTCTATATATAGCTGCCGCAGAAGCAGCACGCACTACGGATACCACATTTAGTAGAGGAGTGGCACACACTGGAAATCTGGGGGCATTTTATTCATCACGTTAGTGAAATGTGCACAAATTAACCACAGTTACTCCACGTTTCATTTCCTCACTGCATCTGGGTTGCATGACAGAACCAGCACTTCCTTCTCCCCAACATAATTCAGGCTAACACTACAGTACACCTCATCAATCCTCTCTGCACATCTCAAATCAGGACAAGCAAGTTGGTCCTCACATTCTTTGTGGTTTTGTTCCAGGTATTTGATATTCTTCTGTCCCATGAACCTCTTCTACAAGTGTGTCAGCTTTCTGCCAGTGAAGCTCATCTTTGTGGCAATGAAGGAGGTGGTCAGAGTTCGCAAGATCGCAGCTGGGGTCCACCACGCTCACCACCACTACCACCACGGCTGGTTCATTATGATGGCTATTGGATGGGTCAAAGGTGAAAGATGAGATGCTCTAAATGCACCCAGCCCTCCGGGGAGGGACAGGAGAATCTGTGAGTGAGGCTGAAGGTGACCACGTCACCCAGTGCTGGCCAGCAGCTAGTGGATGTGGTCAGCTGGCTTCCATCAATCATGTTCCCTAGAACACAGGTATTTAGTCATCCTTGCACAATGGTTGTCAGCTGAGTCATCATCTGACTTTATTGGAGGCATAAAGAACTGGAGTCACTATGAAATAAGGGGGTAGAATTCAGGAATTCCTTATTTTCTCATGTGCTTGACTGTCTGGCCTCACACGTATCTCTTCAGGGGGGTTCTATTATGTTGAACAGCCCAGTCAGTTTTCCTTTAGCTTGTGTTTGGAGCAAGCATTTGAGCATCAGTAAATGCAACAGAGGCAAATGCTTTTTTCATCAGGTAACACTTTATGGCACATCCAGAAAGCATTTGCCCTGCTCTGTTTAGGCTATCTTGGGAAGAATATCATTTGTTCCCTTTAGGTTGTCATCCCTTGGGGATCTAGAAAGACAGCAGAGCTCTCCTCTGCTGTGGCAGTTCTAGCTGTTCGTTTTCACTGTTTCACAGGTTCTGGTGTTGCTTTGATGTCTAACTTTGAGCAACTACTCCGTGGGGTCTGGAAGCCAGAAACAAATGAAATTCTTCGTATGTCCTTGTAAGTAGGTAGCCTGTAAATTCTCTTGTCAGCCTAAAAATGGCATTTAAAGAACCATTCAGGACTGGATGCAAACCTAGACAACTTATTTCTCTTGTAGCCCTACAAAGGCTAGTCTGTATGGTACAGTGCTCTTCACTCTGCAACAGACTCACTGGCTCCCTATCTCTGAAGCCAACCTCATCTTCTTTTTCACCATGTTCATGATAGTTTGCAAGGTAAGTTAACAGCAGGCCTACTGCAAACAAATCCACAGAACCAGAGAAAGGGTACACACTTCAACTGGGGGTGTCCACCTTCCCGAGCCACTACTGAAGGCATTGGCTGTATATATCAGGGGATTTGCTCAGGAAATTAAGAGTCTAAATTCTCCCTCCTATCAGAAGTATGGGAGAAAATCCTTGTGCTACAGCTGAGTCATGTAGCAGTAGGGACTTCTACCTGGTCTAAGTGGAGTGCTCCTTCCTAGCTTATATTTCACAGCTGACGTATGTGATCTCTGAGGATTCACTTTTGCATGGCAGGTTTTCATGACGGCAACTCACTCTCACGCCTCACCTTTTGCTCCGGTGGAAAACTTCATCTGTCCAGTTTTCTTCGGCTCCGTTTCCAGTGGACACAGCAGTCACCATCACGATCATCATGGGGCCTCCCATGAGGTTTCCCATCCTCCGCCGCCTCCTGCTAAGTCAAAAGAAGAGCTAAATGAAGGCACAAGAAAACGGAAAGCCAAGAAAGCTGAATAAAGAAGCAACCACACAGTAAATAGGCCAGGAAAATTCTTCCAGAACTGAGTCTCAAAGCCACCTGTGACCTCCTTTATCCTCCAGTCCTTCTCTCTCAGACTCCAGGAGAGGTGGAAGCCAGGATACTGCCAGGCGGGTCCCTGAATTTCATTTGTGCTCTCTGTGCTGCTGCTGGTCTCTCTATTCTGATCACATTGTCGGGGATTCGTAGGTTTGGGCCAGGATGATCAGCGGGTGCCAGTTCTCAGGCTGTCAGCAGCTACGATGCAGCTCGTTCAACTGATGTAAAATCTTTCACTGTGTTTATTTATGAATGGAGGTGATGGTTAGTGCTCCCGCAACTCTTAAATCCCTTAGAGTTTTCATTGACCTTTTTAATGTCTACCAAAAGAACAAACTGTTTAGGTGCAATCAATGTGGAAATTGGATTTTATACTCAATGAAATGCAACGAGTCTCACATGAGCCTGATCTAATTTTCCCTAGCTCCCACCTCTGCCATATCTCCAATTAATATGACATTTCAGATGCGGTAAGGACACTGACTCTGGTGTCCTGGCCAAGCTCTGTTTCTCTCACTGAATTTCCCTCTGATAATGGATAGAACATTGTCACTTTCTTACCTAAGTCTGTGTTTGCAAGAGCTTTGAAGCTGTGAAATGCTCCGAGTGCTATGTACTGGTACTGTTAGTATTCTAAACTGTTATGTAGCGTTGCTGCATGTTGTTAAGTGTGTCCCACCTCAAACCTGATCATACTGAACTAAGCACATTTCTGGTTGGTTTGTAATCCTGTGGGATACAAGAAGGGTGTGTGAGTGTAAATAAGTATTTATTACTATTTATTTATAATTGCCAGGGCACCTAATTCATGGACCTGAATGTGGCTTTTTTAAAACGGTGCATCTTTCTGTAGAGAATTGGCTATTTCTAAGTGTGGTCCTAAGCCCACAGCCACACACTGGTTTGTGCCTGAAGCAGTGATTTTTGGTGTGCTCTTCACCCTTTATATCTTCTTAAGTGAAGATATATATATCTTCACTTAAGATACACCCTTTATATCTTATAAAGGCTGAAGAAGTGGATTCCACACCAGCTGACTGAAACTGCTTTAAAGGACTGATAGCTGGAGATGCAGATTAGCCCTTGTAGGTCCATTTTGGCCAAACTACTGGTTTGTGAAAACAGCTTGTGCCCTCCCTTGTTCAGAGAGGAACCTGTCAGTTCTGCTTGGTGAATACTGCCTTTTAGACTAGTTTTAAGCTGTTCTTATCACCGATTTTGTTCTCGGAAGTGTCCTCATCCAAGGGCTGGGATCACTGCAGTGACAATAGCACGTGTGGGGACAGAGCACTGAGCTTTCAGTTAGGCAGCATGTGCCATCCCTAGCAATAGGCTTTGCTGCTGTCATTTTGCAACTGGGAATAGAAATAGGATTGAAGGGGTTGAAGAAAAGCAGGTTTGAGGTTTTTTGTGTCCCTGTTAAAATGGAAATTGATGGTTAATTAAAAAATCGAATAAAAATCCATACTGTATCCAACCAGCTGGAAGCCAGGACAAAGGCGAAATGATTCAATTCTGTTCTTTGATTTGTGGGGCTGCGCTTTGACAGTGCCTTAATTTTGTGAGTTTCCCTCCCCCTGTAGAAAACAGGAATTCCCCCTGACAACTGAACTGTCTGGTTCTGCTGGTCTGCTGAAACCTGATGGCTCACTGGCATGCACAAGACTAGAACTGCTTTATGAGATGTCCAATGAAGAGGAATTCTGTTTTATAAAAGCTGCCAACTAATAAAACTTGTGAAGTGACTCTGATTGTGCACTGGCACTTGAGGAAACATTCTACAGGGCTCCTTTACCTGTACATACACTTCTTCCTTAAGACTCTGCTCCAATCAGAATGAAATGGTAGCTTGCCATTTCCTAAAGGGATGAAGTAATTCTCTTCTATGGCACAGAGATGGGAGTGATGAGGCAAACGTGCCACAGTCAATCTACCTGGCTCACTAGATGAGGATCTGCAAAGGGCTGTTTATCTTCTGAGGCTCTCACTTGTCTCCTCCCAGATCGAACTCTTTTCAGATGCTTATTAATACTCCTTAATTGATCAGCACAGTTGAGAACAGAAGTTGCATTGGAGCGTGGGGCTTAAAGCCTTTGTATGACCCAATTGATGGAAAAGTTCAGTGGAAGCCTTATACACAAAATAAATCCAGGAAAAAAAGGCATAAGAATGTTCCATGTGGTTTGACCATTCTCCTCTCCAGTGTCATCAGCAAATGGTGCTCAGGACCTGGACAGGACAATAAACAAGCAGGCTGAGCAGAGGAGGTGTCCCAAGTGCTTTGAAAAAGCCTACAAGGTCTCAAGAGTTTCCTGCTGCGCAGAATGTTCCCAGCTCCAAATCCCAATGTAGTACAGGGCTTAGACTTCCATGGGACAGACGTCATTCCCTCCAAAGACGTTCTGATGTGATAACTTCTGATACTAACTCTAGTGAGAGGTAGCTAAATTTAGCACTAAGTTTAATCCTCAAAGAGGCCCTGGTTGCCTGATGGAAAAAGCAAAGTGTTGAACTTGATGCTCTCAGCATTTCTTGCTGACTGAAAGGTTTCCCTTTTCTGTTACATAGAGAGAGTCAAACGCAGTGTCCACAGCTTTCCCATCGCTGCAGATCAGCTTCGCAGATAGGGAAAGCTCCACAGCCCTTACTGTGTTTGCGTGAAAAAAACCAAGCCCATAGGAGAAGTTTACAGAAAACATTAATTCTTCACAGTAAACGAACTGAAGTTAAAAAAAAGGAGGCCAAAGGGAAGAATTCCCATGTTAAAGAGCTTATGTGAGAAAGGGCAGAGCCAACACAATCCAGAGCCAAGCTAGAGCAACCGGTGCTCGTTTTCCCCTTTTCCTATTAATGGCAGGATGTACATTCTTCCACGTTTTGTCCAGAGTGACAAATTCTATAATCCAGATAAGCAGAAAGACCCAGAAAGGAAATGCTCCATCCCTGGCAGTGTTCAAGGCCAGGTTGGAGAGAGCCTTGGGTGACATGGTCTAGTGTGAGGCATCCCTGCCCATGGCAGGGGGTTGGAACTGGATGATCTTAAGGTCCTTTCCATCCCAACCCATTCTATGATGCTATGGTTGTTACCTTGGCCATCTCCTGAGCAATAGGGAACTTGTTCCTTTTAACACCTGCCAGGTGATCAGCTGCCAAACACGTGCACCTCCTTCCTGCAGCCTATTTCATGGCTGTATGATGCCTCAGAGATACAAAGCACTAGATTGGTGCCGAGAATATCAGTCCAAGTAGCACACAGGACACACAGAAGCGTAAAAAACTGCAGCTTTATGCATTTTGCAGCAGCACATCTTCGTTTGGGTCTTTCGCTGTAATTGTCTACAGTCCTTGTGCTGTTCTTTAATGGACCTAACTGGCTACTGCAAGACACAGGACAGGATTATATGGAAGGGAAGGCTGGAATAGCATGGCATGTCCTTCTTTAGATCCCCAGCTTTTTGCTGCAGCCAAGATTTTTTCTCAAGGTATTCTGGTTCTTTGCCAAAACAATGAGATCGGAAGAAATACCTATAAAAGATACTCTAGAAAGCTCCCAAAGGCATCTGGATTTAGTAGGAGCTTCTTCCATCTCTACTAGGAAGACAAAACAATGATAAGGCAAACTATCAGCAATGGAGAAAACAGGCTGTTGATGCCAAACACTCCATGCACAGCGGGCTGGTATCTGCCTCTTTAGGATGCTTTTGCCACTGGCCCCAAGGAGATGTGTTGTGTCCATCCACTGTAAGGAAACACCAATTAAAGGGGTTTGGATGTCATCAGACACCAAGAGTGTGGTGCTTACTTCATAAACACCCACAAAATTGCCTCCCAGCTAAGAGTTTAATCCTGCTCTCATGTGGTCTGTAAAGGAGCAGCCTGTGAGCAAGCTGCTAGGGGCTGGTGGCTCATGGAACAGACAGTGAATAAACAAGTTCCCCATCATGCCAGAGCCTGCTCAGAGTCACAGCTGCTCCTCTCTTCACCTCTGCAATGGCATCTCTGACAAGAAGGAGATGCTGATAGTGCCAAGATCATCATTCATTAATATCTTTGGGTCTGGTCTCTCTTTCACACTTGTGCGTTTGCATCTTACACGTTATCCCTAGAAAAAGTACAATTTAGAGTATTTTCTATCATGATCCTTGTCTGCTTCCTTGTTGTTCCAAAAGAGAATTTGGGAAGGGAATTGTTTAGAGAGCTCCCGAATGTCACCTTTTAGGAAGAATCAGTGTCAGACAGTGATTTCATCTTAGCTTTAGGCTACAGGTACTCTCCAGCTGTGGAATGCAGGAAAACAGGTCTGATATGTTTAGAGGCTTGAGCATTTGTATAGCCGGAGGGAATGCAGAATGTCCCTGGAAAAGACTTGGTTGATTTTGTTTGGTTTGGATTTGCAAATTACACCAAGCTCCTCCAAACCAAGCTGCTGCTTTTCCAGCTACCCCAGCCCCCGGTGCTTCTCAATGGAGTCGGCAGATTCTGACTTTCCCAAAACAGACCTGCTAGTTGAGGACTTCTTGCCCCACCGCAAACCAAGTGCTTGACTCAGAGAGTGAGGTAATTTTCTATGCTTTGTTAGTGACAAGAATTGGTGTAATCAGCAACAACAACGGGTGGATGCAGTGTGAGGTGCAGAGAGCACATCACAGATTGCAGTGCCTTGAAGAACACTCTAGAAATCCATGACTTTAGAGCCCTAACGTTGGCTCAAAGGAGGTTTAGAATAATGTAGGCTAAACCCTAACGTAGGCTCTCTGTGATGTTTGTCTCTTAAGGTAAACTGCTGTCTCCCTGCCTGTTTGATTTATGACAGATTAGGACGTTGGTTAATCTCTTCTTATTTGGCTACATGACTGGAGATTAAGCATGTATTGTCTGCAAAAGGAGCCCATAAATGCAGATTACTAAGTTTTCTTTAATTATTCCTCTGTGTGCCAACGAGATACAGGGGGGATACAGAGAGAGACAGACACCAGCCTCTTAAATCTCATTTCATGAGAGCGAAACAAAAAAAACCCAGCAGCTGCTCTGCCGGATACTGGTTTTCTCTGAAATGCTCACTTCAGTTTCCTGTAAGGCAAAAAAAGCCACAGGAATAATAGATTATGGTCTCCTGTGAGAAAATGGGGAAGCAGAAAGCGGATCCGAGTGAATGAATCTGCTTGGCTGGTGGAGCACCATCTCTGTTTCCACAGGGTGTGAAGACAGCAGCATTTCTTATGGGAAAAGCTCTAGTGAACACGCACAGAAACACATCTCGAAACAAACTGAGAATAGCAATGTGCTGTGAATACTGGAAAAGAGACACTGAAAAGCTCTGTGAGCATGAGGCGGAGATGCCCATTCTGTCAGGGCCTCTGCTGAGATGTCTGCACCAGTTACCTTCTCTCCCTATGAATTCCAAGGGCATCTGGACAA